CAGATCGTGAAGATATAAATTAAATAACGTAGGGCTCAGCATACAGCCTTGTTTAACACCCATATAACAGGAAAATGTCGGAGAAATGTGTCCATTTACTTTGATTGCTGATTGATCAGTGGAGTACATCGATTGTATCACTCTTAGAAAATTTCCACCTCTATCCAATTCCCAACCTCCATCCAATCATTTCTCAATTGACTCCCCATTTTTAGCATCTCTTTACACAGCCATATTTGCACCACTTCAACTCAACACACCCATTTCTAAATAGGTAGAGACCTTCAGCATGACATTCTTGCTAAGTACCACAAACCTTAAACTGTAGTTCCGCGTAAGGCATTTTCCGTCAAACTTTTGACATTTAGCAAGGAGTCATAATAAAGATGTTGCTGAAAGAGCAGCCATATTGGATTTTATTGGTGCTGAGTGTTTCTCTGTGTTTGTGGGCATGTTTCTGGGCCTGATCCCCAGTGGTTAGGGGTTAGCAGTAAACCCGATGCTAAAGGTCTATATACTAGTAACAGTGATAATTCCTTTGGCAGCATTCTCAAGAGCATTATTTCAGATTTGATGGATAGTATTTTATTGACAGATGGACCAGCCTACTGGCATGGATCTGGAGATAAAAATGATAGCAAAAGTGAGCTACCTACAAAAAGAAGAAAAAGCTCTCGTATTGCATCCAAATCCAAGGAACTAGAGCATAGATGGCATAGGAATGGTGAGTCTTATGAGTTAACAATGTGCACTGGACAAGCAGTAGTAGAGAAAGTCATGTTGCACTCAGCTTTGACTCTGGCTATCATTCCTGAATGAAGCAACCATGGGGACCCCAATCTAGATAAAAGTGCTGGTAATGCCCTGACTTAGATCAGCCCAGAGGTTGCTTCAGGGTTTGATCTGTGTGTTAGCCATGCTCTGACTTTGTGATCAGCCCAGAGGTTGTTTTATGGTTCCATCTGTGATTTAGCCATGCCCTAACTAAGATCAGTGCTGTCTAGGCTGTTTCAGGGTTTGAAAACATTTGAAGTTTTATCCTTAAAGCATATGGATTCCAGTGTCATTCTCATGTGTTTAAATCTCTCCAATAGGTAGAATCCAACTAAATATTGACAGTATATTGAAGACCCTGAGGAATAACATCCCTTCTTCTGCTCTCTGTTTTATTGGTCTGACGATGGTTGACTTGTATCAAGACCATACTGATCTGTTTGTTGCTGGAATGGCATATGGAAACCACAAAGTTGCTGTAAGTCAAGCAGCCTTTATGATAATGATGCAAATAATGATGATTTGATGACGATGATGGTGATATATGTAGATGGATAACCTTGGGTCCAGTGGTGATTTGATGATGATGATGATGGTGATGATGATGATGATTAAGTTGTTGATCATGATGATGATGATGATGATGTTTTGATAATTTGATGATGTTGATGATGTTTTAGTGATGATAATGATGATGATGATGTTGATGATGGTAATATCTTGATAATGGTCATCATGTTGATGATGTTGATGATGATAACGATAATGTCTTGATGATAATGATGATGGTGATGATGTTTTTAGTGATGATGATGTTGATGATGATAATTAGATGATTGGGAGGATAATGATGATGATGATGTCGATGATGGTAATATCTTGATAATGGCAATCATGCTGATGATGTTGATAATGATGACGATGATGTCTTGATGATAATGATGATGGTGATGTTTTTAGTGATGATGATGTTGTTGATGATGATAATATCTAGATGATTAGGATGATAATGATGATGATGGTGTTGATGATGATTATATGTAGATGATTGATGGGATGATGATGATATGATGATGACTGTGATGATGTTTTTAGTGATGATGACCATGATGATTGAGTTGCCTTATGATACGCTACTGAGTACTGCATTATGATGGTAATTGGAATCAATTATCCAGGATCGATACGAAAAACGACATATGAGTCGTAGTTTTCCATTAACTTTTCAGGTTTTCAGCTTTGCAAGATACGATCCAGGTCTTTCTTTTTCCAAAGAGTTCTGGTATGATATACAAGACAGCGAAGAATACAAACCCGAAGAAAAGAGATCACTAATGCTACAGGTATTTCAACATGAAAAAATTGCCATTTTCACATTGGTCATAATACATTACAAAAATTTTGCAAATGTATCTTTTGATATCTAATTAAGGATTATAAAACGCGCGCGCATGCCTCTTTATCGTGATATAATCATGCTGGGAGCTGTAGAGCACAAGGGAAGCAAGCTTAGTAACACGAGCCGAGTATTTCTCTTACTTCTCGAGTGCTCTACAGCTCCCAGAGTGTTGATATCACAGTACAGAGACATAAGCAGCCGTTTTAATATTGCTTTTATAAAATATTTTTGAATTATTTTGCGCGAGCGTGTCTCTGTCCTCTGATGTAAACACGGTAGCCAGCCAATCAGCGCGCGCGTTATATCTCAAATATTTTGTACTGCTTTTATGAAATATTTTTCAACGAACGATTTTGCGCGAGCGTGTCTCTGTCCCATAATATAAACACGGTAGCCAGCAATCGATGATCAGCGCGCGTTATACCTTGAATATTGATAAAGATAAGAAACAATGATAAGCCCAAAGAATTTTGAAGAAGTCTTTATAAACACTGCTTCATGAGTCAATACATAAACGTAACATTGACTGTAACGTAAATTTGTTTCAGAGAAGCTGCAAGTTATTAGTGCATGAGATAGCTCATATTTTTGGTGTTGATCATTGCATCTGGTACTCTTGTTGTATGAATGGTTCAGGACATCTGCAAGAAGATTTTGGTAAGTTAATGTCACGCATCCCCACGTGCGGCATTTAAGTTAAATGTCAAATGAATACGTCCACCATCGTAACATCGTCGTATTTCAGAAATTCACTTTGCCCAACTACATTCTCGTCTAAGGGTGTCAAAAGCTGAAATTACACAACTGAGATTACAGGGGGGACCGCGAAACTTCTGATATGTCGTTCGTTCAGCTGGCAGAGCAATTGACGTTCTTCATCTTGGTGCAATGTTTCTCCATTACACACCACTTTCTTTCTACATTTCCTCGACAATAAGATTCTTTATTTGAGTTTTTTCCATATTGACAACACTTTTTAGAAACTACGATGTATGCGGACTTCTGAGGTCGGTAAACCAAAGCCGAAATTAGAATAACAAAACAAACAGCTTCTGGATTCGAGGCTAAGACCACATACACTGGAGTTTGAAGAGTCGTCAATTCATGTGTCTTCTCTTGCACAACCCTCAAACAAAGAAATGATACTCTAGGGAATGACATGTGGTCTGAAATGGGAAGACATTGCACAATGACGAATAAGGTCTATTGCCAAGTTACACACACTCTCTCATTTGCTATATGACTTCAATGTTATAAGCAACTTATCGCTGTGTGTGTGTGTGTGTGTGTGCACAAAAAACCCGTAGATCGTTTAAATGGCTTTTTCCTTTAATTTTTTCTTAGCTCAACCAATATTTTTATGTCCCGTTGATCTTCACAAATTACAACGTCTGTGTGGCTTTGATATTCTCCAAAGATATAGAAAGGTATGTACCACTCATCCATATGAGTTTAGATTCGGGCTATTCCTTTTTATTGTTTTAAAATGAGAAGCAAAAGTCATATAACATTGAATGGAGAGTTATGACTTGGTTGTCAAGGAAACCACAGAAAGATCCCGCTTCTTTCCATCCTCCCTCTTCCATCAAAAAAGTCAAAGAACAAGGACAATATACGAGAGTAAAAACAGATTTTATTCTCTTTCTAATTTTTGTTCCTTTGGTTGTTCAACTTAGCTTTTAGATTTCTTCAAAAACCACGAAATGAATAAAGAAAGTGAATGGCTTGAGCGAAGAATTAATTTTATCACAGAACAGCACAAGAGATAACTTTAACAGGAAATCGTTTACGTAGAATTTTCCTATCAATTTGGATGATACATTTACTAAGCGCACGAGAGACGCCAAGAATGTGCGCCGAGTAGAAGCGTCGAGAAAACCTACTGCGCATGTCCAGAAAATTAACGGGAAAATGGCAAACATCCATTCCAGTTACCTTACCATGCATTTAATGCAAGCATTTAGAAACTTTCACGCTTGACCAGAAAAAATGGCGGGAAAATAGCAGCCTTATCATTTAGGACAAGAATTTATGGAAATTCTACGCATGCCAAGGAAAAAAGGCGGGAAAATGGCAAATATCGGTTCAAGCAATAAGAAAGGACAATAAGCGAGCACCGAAACTCTTCCGGAAAATGAAAAATTTGAGCTTTAGTAAAAATAACAGGCTCACTAAAATTATCTTATAAGGCCGACAGAGTTATTTATTTGTTGAGAGCGAAGTCTAGTTTACATTACTGGATTTACGAGAATAGACCGTCGATGGTCATCACGAAGTCAGAAAGTAGAGAAACTTAACATTTGTTGTTTTTGTTTTATTTACTATGGTTATATTTCTTGTTTAACTGGTTTACAAAGTAACACAATTCAACGCTTTCACAATGGCTAAAATCCATTAGTACAAATATTAGAATTCTTCAAGTATGGAAGACAGATTTATTTCTTAAATCCCTCCCTAGCCTAGTGGGAAGGGACACGATTGATGTAGCTATTCTAACTGATACATTTATTCATCACATGGGTTAGCAATTATATTTATTTCCATGCCTATGTCGTAGAGCGTAGAGCGTAGATCGTACAGYGGGTAATTGCAACCTGTGTTTCTTCATTGGACTAGTTTGAGGGAGCTGGCGGCGCTGCGTAGACAATTGCGCAACATCCAAGACGTGCTCCAGCATTACCAGTCTTTAAGCTCTCTTTTCTTGCTGCTCCTTTACCTCTTCCTAAGTCATCTCTCTTGGCGTGTAACTGTTGTTAGAAAGAACACCAGTAAATACAGTATATCAACACCACGTACATTTACAGTAAATAGTCCCCTTCACAGTTCCCTGCGGCATCTTGAAAGGTAGCCGTGCCTTTGCATCGAAGCGAGACGAACGGTGAGCTTGCAATGATAGAGACCTTTTTTAACACCTTGAACAATTATTCACATGTCTCTATCATTGCAAGCTCACCGTTCTTCTCGCTTCGATGCAAAGGCATGTGAATACCTTTACCTTTACCTTTCAAGATGGCGAAGGAAACTGTGAAGGGGGCTATTGTACACAACGACCGCATATTGCTTGGGCTGCCTGTGGATAGAACTGAGAAACTTTCGTATCAGCAAAATGTGGTTTTTTTTCTCCTTTCTTTCTTCCCTTTTTCAATTATTTTTCGATACATGTACTTTCTATATTCGGTTCAGTTGTTTCTTACCACGATGGAGCGACCAATTACAGAATAATTTCCTTGAAGAGACACCAAAGAGTCGGTGAACTCTGCCTCAATTCTGCCATTGTCGTCAGACATCAAGTTGCCAAGGTCACCAACGTGTCTGCAGAATAACATACGGACAGATTAGCTATTAAAAGTTACATTACCCATTACCTTCGCTCACATGTACAGATACTAAAGCAATGCATCCTCGACACTCGCTGTCGAATGTCATTTTCGGGAACGTATGATCTTTATGAAAGCTGTAAGGTCGAAAAATCTCKTATAGAAAAGATGGCGCCTGCATGGTAAAAAGTGTGGTACATTCATCTTCAGTGCTTGTATTTAAGATTGCAGCGTAGTTTATTTAACACTGCCGGAGTCATAATAATAATAAGACCATCAAAAACAATTTATATTTTATTTATTTATATATATATATTTTTTTGCACAGTGATTTCTCTTTGTTGCACAGTGATTATAAAAAAATTAAACGAGTAGCAGACCAATCACGATCGAGAATTTTTGATGGTCATATTATTATTATTAACGAAATTCTTTCGTCCAGAAGCCAGACTTACCGTATTCGATCGCGAGGTCCGCCGTGTGTAGCATTAAAAGGATTGTAGTGAGAACCACAACTCTGACAACCTGTCAAAAAAATAAAGCGTTCAGAAGGTCCTAAGTTCCAACTAAAACTATGGTAAATGACTTGATCGGGGTTCACCGAAGAGAAATGCACGTCTAAAACCTAGTTTTTGAGATCAAAGGAGCATAGAACAACACATTGGTGTTCCAAATAAGAGGGCAAGAAAAGTGAAAGAGAAAGAAAGGGTTGAAGAAAAAGCGCAGACTAAATAAGTCATCATGAACAAAACATTGAAAAATAGGTCAGTGGTGATAATTACCGTTTGAGRTGATGTCCCCATAGTTGTGCACATGGAATCCATGCACACTGTAAGGTGGCAAGCCATTTAATTTTACAGTGAATTTGGTTTGAGCTGAAGAAGACTGAAAAAATGCGCATGTTTGTTAGCATCCAACCTTTTAAGTTAGTAATATACCTCTTCAGCTTCGTTTGTTCACATTTCAGACCATGTGACGCCACTCTTGGGAGTTGATTCTTTCATGTGTAAATATTTTAACATGTTCGTCATAAAAGARCAGTTCTCAAGGGAATGTCACGTGGTCTGAAATGGGCAATTTTCATACGWAGGTGAAGAGGTCTATTAATGACGCAAGCAGTGGTCAATTCTCTCCTGTCAAATTTTCTCGTACACTTGTCCGTTACATGATACGATTCAAATAAAGTGCGTTGCAGCTGATCACTAAGGGGATATTATACCAAGCGTTGTCTTGGTTTTCTGCTGTAGTTTCTTTCGAAAAATTAAAGTACTTAAAAGTTATTCTACTTTTTTCTACGGATTTCACGACAATCAATATCAAAACAGTATTTGCCTTATGCACAAGAGAAAAAATGCAATGAAACAACAGAATGTACACGCGGAATCCAAGAAAAATTAAGAAAGTGGGTTCATTTATCGTTATCACCGCAGCAGAATGGTTTTATGGGAGGGAAACATACGTTACGTACTTCAAGTAAGACATGCTGTAATTCATCCAACCGCATCACTTACGACTTACGTACTTACGACTACAGGCTATACAAAACTGCGTTATGYATAATGTTACCGAATTTACGCCTTTGTCCCTTACGCTGTCCCTTCGTATTTTCCGTTGTCCCTTCATACTTTCCGTGCGCGCGCGAAGATAAAAATTATGGATTTCATTACGTAAAGTAAAGGGACATTAAAATGGTTTTACCTGCTGCGAAAGCTTGACGGTTCCTGTCACTGTGGACTTGACGTTACTCGGTGGTACTCTGTTTGGTTCCATGTRACACATTACCGTAACTAAAAGACATGAAAAAAATTATATTACTTTAACTTTGATGAAAATTATACTGAAATATTTGTAGAACAAGCCATACAACAATAGTCATCGTTATTAAATGTTTGCTTTTGATTTGCGGGATATTCTGTAATTTTCCGGAAAGACGGAGAAAAACCTTTGAGTCAAGGGAGAGAACTAACAAACTCTACTCATATGTGATGCCATACTTAATGGAGCTCCATTAGCTATGGTGATGCTAAGCCGAGACCCCAGGGTGAAAGGCTACTGCGCTACGCACCGCTACTAGCTCCACCCTTGATTACTCATGCTTCAAGAAATTACACGGCTTCAATATACTAGCATTCCTRGCTTAGAACTGCGAATAATTAGTCGTAACTATAGCTCAACTGAATCGATCAGATTTAATCGAATCTTTTTCTGSAAGCAAACTCGCCGCTAAAAATGAGCATTCTATTCTAGTCCGACTAAGGTCATGATTATTCACAGTGTGCCAAATGGACTCCTCGCATCATTAATAACCTAAACCACTTTGTTTTTCCAAAGCAGAATAGCGATTGATCCTACGTATGAATCATTTTGGAGTCCAATGATTCTATATACATATAAAAGCTTTTCCAAAAAAGGTTGGTGAAAGTTTGGTTGCTGACAAGATAGATGATCAAGAAGAGACGAGGCTAGATTAGTGCAAGCCACTTTTACCTACCTTCTTCAGCACTTATCTCAACTACGATAGCATACACCAAAAGAATCGGGAAGACCAAAATTTGCTTCATACTCTCGAGACTGTAAAAATTGACTAAGGTTGTGATGGAATTGTTTGCTTGTTTTGATGCAACGAACGGAAATCTTGCCTCAAAACAGCTGATTTCTCTGACTGATTACTTTTTATATCTTCACTGCCAGAATCCCCTCCGGTTGCTTTTTTCTTATGCTAAGCTTAACTATTGTCTTGGAATTCTCAAAGGAGTTATAACATTTGAATAAGAGTTATGAAGATAGACGATTTTGACAATACAAAGGATTACGATGACAATATRCAATAGATTTAGTCTTCCAAACAATTGCAACCTAAATCTAACCTAAAAAAAGAAGTATTTTACTGCGAATTGTACCCCAAATCTATTGCATATTGTCATTTTATAATCTATTGTTTTTTAAACCAATCATAAAGCGTAATGCAAATGATGGAGACACTCCATAGAGTTGTATTTCAAAGAGAATTGATCCTTAAACCTAATCTTACAAAAGAGGTACTCTATTACTATGGGATAATCAAAAAGCAGGTTCCGAATGGCTTAGAAAGGACTGGATTTCAACTGCTTTATTGATACTAATTTCAACATTTYCCAATACGTGCTATTATTTTTCTTATAGATGAGATCTTCGAATTTAAACTTTCAAAAATTGCCTCCTGGAACACGCAATGATTAATTACATTACGATATGAAATAACTATCATATTGTCTTGAAAAAACCCATTMTTGGGGTGCATGTTACGTCATGGCCGCAATGTTGACGACTAAGCATTCCTCATTAGCTTTTCTTGTTAAATCAACCACTGTTATTTATGTCTCGAGGGATTTTGATATTCTAGTGGTTGCACTCCAAGAATAGCGCAGCGCACTGATTCTAAAACTACCTTGAAGATTCGGACAAACATTGCATTCTGTTTAACCGCTACGAGGATTATACGAACCGATTTTATTATTTTTACTTAAAGTTACAAAAATAACCCATGTAAACTAAGATCAACTGTGATCGGCTGTGAAAATTATCTGCTGAAAGTAAACTTGTAAGTTTGTTTGTCCGAATTTCGCCTTTGTCTTTGTTTTTATGACATCACGGTTGCGCTGCGCTATTGGTTCTACTTAAGCCGCATCGATTAGATTTCCATACGACTAGACATGCTACAGAGAAATCCAATACCGTGCGTTTTTCCTTAAAAATATAGTTATATGAAGCACTTAAGTTTGAAGTGACTGTCAGATAGCTTGAGATGCAGACAAGCAGCTAAAAACAGTGGCTATTCTTGTCCATGCAGGTTATAATTATTATAGAGTGGCAAATGGTTTCGTCATTTAATAGAATAACACTTTGTTTTTGCCAAGGCAGTACTAGCGATGGATTCTTTAAGCCCCTTGGGGTGACAATGGCCTCATCTGCATATATATACGTTATACACACATATGTATATCTGTCATTAAATAGTTTGAGAGAGAGCGGGGAGAGGGAGAGAGATGGGGAGAGGCATGCAGATGTAGAAGATAGATGATATTATAGCGGACAAGTGTAGACTGATGCTTACCTTGAGCGCTTACTTCAACCACACTGGCATACACCAAAAGAATCGATAAGACTGCAATATGCTTCATCCTCACAAGACYGTAAAACTGGTTGTGATGCAATGGTAGGCGTACACTGGTTTTTATGCAACGAAAGGAAAAACTACTTGCCCTCGAGACAGGCTTATTCTGACACTGAAAGCGAATATTATAAGTGGTACAATCAGTTTAGCCCGTGACATACATGCTATAACATGTTCCAGACTTGCAGCATAAACACTCAGAGCAACGTAACAGTTCGTAATGACAATCACTATACGGTCGATATGATGGTTGCTAAGTTTCCAAGCTTAACTTCCCATTTTTAGGTGGAGAAGAGCAGATTTCAAACAAAAAAAATYACTTAACGGTGGTAAATCGCGCTGAAACTTCRCCAGAAGACTGAAGCAAGTTTTAARGCAAATTTTTGAGTAAAACATTTTATTGRCATATCTTCATCATAACTCCAATAGCTTTTATTTACCACAAATCTAAATTTTCTCGCTTTCTGATTGGTCAAGAACCGTGGTAAATGACGGGACTTACCAGCAAATTACGTMAACAAATTACGAAACACACGAGCACGGGTGCGCTTGAAACCAAACCGTTATTTCAAACTTTTTGCGTGTGTGTGTTTTTTTTTTTGTAGCAGTAAAAAACAAATTTCGACAATTTAGCGTTGTATACGTCCT